AAACCAGGGGCTTCTGGAATAGCCCGTTTTCGACGTTTTCATAATATGCAAGCTGCATTTTCGGAATCAGCGGGAAGGATAAGCCTAGGTAAGCGAAAAAAAAATTTGTTCGAGATTTTGCCCGGACACTGCCTTCAACTCTAACGTGAATGTACGAAAATTATCTGAAATACCTAGACATGTTGACGCTGTTTGACCTAAAAAGAAAGCAGATCCTTTATTGTACATTAAGTTGAGGAAAATCACAATCAGCAGGCTAATCATCATCTGTAATTGCTTATCACCCCATTGCCATTCACAACTACTATAATCTTAGACTTAGGTACAAAGTTTTTGGCGGCGGAAAGGTGACGTGAGCCTGTGGGCTGTTTGCTGGAGTAAAATGGCACAAAAAGCATGGTTCCGCAAATGGATTGATTGTATAAAAAGGTAGCGAAGGTGGGTATCCAAAGGGCTATCGCAAGGCGAAGACCTTCAACGCCGACAATAGCAAGAACGAGAGGGAGATCTGCACTGCTCGACTAACAATTCCTCATTCTTTTCGTTCTCTTTCTGTCCCTCCTCTTCCTCTTCACTGCTGGAGCAGTTTGCTGATTCCTGGTCATAATTAATGCGATAGAATAATTTTACCAAGGAATAAGCACCTGCGCTGTAATCTTCGGCTGCTCCGAAAAGATCATCAGGAGTGTTTACCAGGGAGCGGTCACCGTCCCAATCTGCCCATGTGATGTTGTCGATGTCAAGATTGAGCTCCTTCAGCTTCTTCTGAAAGGCCTCGAAGAGATCCGTCTTGTTTTTGTAGGCGATCCTAAATCGGGGCACATCGAAGTAGACCTTGAAGGAAGCGGTGCGTTCTTCGGCCATGGTTGGATGTAGATGCAAGAAGGAGCGAACATTTATATAAAAGATTTGTTGTAAGGGCGGAGTAATATGGCGCGTTATTGGGAAATGTTGCACAACTTGCTGATAACAGACTAGAAACTCTCCGATTTATGCATCAAAATCGATAGTGCATAGAATTGATTTGACAATAATTGTAGCCTCTACAGCTCTGCTTGGAGGCGCCGTTCTCCCAAATCTTCAAATTTGGTTTTTCCCCTTTTTCGCACGTC